ACCACACTACACCACACATAAACAACACCTACATGCACACAGGCTCATCAAGCCCTTCAATTAATCCCACATATGTGCATTGGCCAGGTTGGCACAATAAACTTACCTATCACACACATAAATGTGTTGTCATCAGGACTAGAGAAATCTGATCAAAGCTAGCAGCTAATCAGGAGAAGGTTCTGCATTAACAACTTCAGCCATTTTTGATGCTCCAACAACTTGCACTCGACATTATGACTCAACCCATACAGTAGACTCTTGCTCTTTTCTCTAATTTCAGACTTCCACTGGTACATCTATGTCAACACCATTTGGTCCCATTGGGCAAGATCCTTTGGAACGCAGCGGTTTCTTGTCCCCACATACAACCCAAAACTGAGACAAGTCATAGAGCAGCCCAGCTAATGAGCTAACTCTCCCTTCCACTAAACCCTCAAACGCCCTGTCCTCGGTCACTTCCAACTCACAGCAACCCTGTAGAGCAGGGTAGGATTGCCCCGGGGGTGGAGACTGTAACTCTTCACAGAACTAGAAAACTACTTCTTTCTCCCCTGAAGTGGCTGGTGTTGTGAACTGCTAACCTTATGAGTATCAGCCCAAGGTGTAACCACTACACCTCCACGGCACCGTCCTAAAGACCCACAGTTCCTCACTTCCTCTTGCTCCTCCCATCCTGGTTGCCCTGTGTCTAGTTGTGCTCCTGGGTGGCTCTATACGAGGTGTGTGTGCCCTTCTGGAACCCAGGAGTATAATAAACTTGGTTATTTTGCATGGTCTCCCAGCCTTTTCTACTTTGCACCTGACTTGACACCCTATAAAAGATCTATTCGAACAGGTGCTTCCTTTTGTTTCAAGGTGGATGAGATTATAGCAGGTGGGTGTGCTAATCTAACCTGGAAGGGAAATAATGCTGAAGCAGGAAGGGCAGATGATGGCGGAGCTGTGTCCCTGAGTAGGAGAGGAAGGGTAAGAACCTGGTGCACAAAGGGTTAACCTCGGTTTTCTCTTCGTAAAAGGAGTGCAATTGGGACCCACACCACACACGCAGGGCCATGGGGAGATGTGGTGGCGGGAGTCTGTGCCGTTCTCTTTTGACTGCTGTGTTTTGAGTCAACCAGAAAACCAGGCCTGCGGCGGAGAGGCGACGAGAGAGAAGGGG